TTATCCGGATAGCAGCTTACTCTATAAAAGAGTGACTGCTAGCCGGGTTTTTTTTGTCTCTGTTATGCTTGTGAATAAAGAGCTGAAGTTCACGGTTTACAGTCTGGTCTCCGTTCATTAAACCCATGCCTCAAACTTAACAAGTTCTATCTGAGGGACCCTTGTATAAGCCATTCACTTTTCAACTAATTATTATTGAAGTATTCGGAGCTCTTAAGCCATGTTCCCATGTTTCATAGTCTTGCCAAAAGTTTACTTGGCTTAAAGAATGTACTGATCTTATTTGCAAACCTAACATTAAAAGCTGATATTAGAAACTTAACACATTTCCCTCAACCTACATTTTAAATGTGCTCATTTTCGTGTTTGTATCATGTTTATTCCTGGGTGAGCCAACAACCTAAACAGAACATAAATTCCCAGAAAAGAAGCTTACTGTTATCCAAAGAAAAATGTTTTATTACAACCGTTTTGCCTCTGAGAATGGTTTTTAAATGGATGAAAGTTTTTCATGATCATAACATGAACGACTTATGGACTCTTTCAATAATGTCAATGTGGCATAATATGTGAAAGTGAAGAAATACCTACAGTTAATGCTTACTTTAAACATAGATTCATTTAATTCATACTTACCAGTAGATTTTCCAATTATACCTCTTTCTGAAGCAACACTCTTTGCTTTTAGTAGATTAATAGTAGTTTGTCCTAATTCTTCAATCAAATATCTTTTTTCCTCAGAAAGTTTATGTAATGTTTGCTCTATAAAAATCAGATCATATATGTTGAAAAAGCTGTGCTATACACAATGCTGTAGATTGCTCTACTATACTCTTCATTCATTAAATTTCTATAACCATCAAACTCAATCAAGGGATTCTGGGAAGTTTTATTTTCTCTGGAAACTTAAATATTAGTAGTTGTATTCATAATATTTACAATATTGGTCAATCTATACTTCTCATTTGAGGCACAAATAACCAGGTTCAAATTATCCTACTTTAGACCTATTATGCATTGTATACCTATACAGAAAGTTCTAATGCTGGGAAACGTGGAAGGCAATTTAAAAAAAAAAGACAACCAGAAGCAAGGTGGATGTTACAATGGTGACAGGTGCATTGCTGGAAGATTTTCAAGGCCAAGTTAGGGACAGATTGTTGTGGAGAGAATAACTGTGTGGTTGCTAGAAATGAAAAATGACTTCATGGTTCATAATTAGTCATAATCAATATTCAATGCATGTCAACTATTTCAAAAACCTTTCATACTTATTATTCATACTCATTACTTGTCATGTTGCAAAATAAATTTGTTACATAGAAGCAATGAAGGTCCTTTAGTGTCCAAAGTGTAGTTCAAAATATGAAATGATCATTTGGAATACAGGATACTCAAACTAATCATTTAAAAAACAGTGCCAGGTATTATTTTGGGGTTTGTCCAATTTATCACATGCTGACTTTAAAGGAAAAAGAAATGTGGGCGGGGCATTACAATTACACCAATATAAGACAAAATAAAAAATGAAGGAATAGATGCAAATAAACCCCTAGACCCCACAGTAACTTAAAAATATCCTGGAAATAAACATCCTGAGACAAAGTCTTTTTCACAATAGAATATTAGACCAAAAATAAAACTACTACACAATAGACATTTACAGAGGGTTTTTTTATTCATATTTTCTAATCCCCGTTAGGGTATTTATGTTCTTCTTATTGGTCCCTTCAGTTTCAAATAAATATCTAGCTACTAGTTTCATCCATAGACGTGTAATGTAGACGTTAAGGTGCTAACTTAGAAACCAGAAGACTGTCCTTGAGGCCTCCCTTATGCATGAAAACTGGCAGGCTGACTTTTGGTCACTCGCTCTCCCTCAACCTACCTCACCTCACAGTTGTGTAGTGAGAAAATAGGAGACAGGAACAAGAACTATTCACTGCCTTGAGTTAAGTAATTAAACACAGAGAGGTGGTATAAAAGTATTGCAGAATAATAATAACGTTCTGCAAAATTTAATTCTGATTATAGAACTGGTTCTGTACGATCCATTAACATACTTGCAAGCGCCGCGTTGTGATTGGCCAGAACGCACAGCAACCTGATTGGCTGAGCGAGCCACACTGATTGGCCCGCCGCTAATCCCCCGCGATTGGTGGAAACTAATCGCGGGAGATTCAAAGCGGTGCCATTGGCCGCGGCCGCCGCGGCCAGAGAATAAAAGCCGCCGCTTTTCTTTCGGTACCCAAGCCGATCTCGGAACTTAATAAAGAGTTGAACTAAGTCACTGGCTCCCGAGTCTCCTTTCCCGACGGACACGACACTGGCGACGAGGGTGGGATTCCAGAGCTGATCCCAACCGAGCATGTGGTCCCGAGGAAACGAGACCGGCGAGATGGCCAACCTTACACCGCCCGCGCCCTTCGACCAAACTACTGAGGACTGGGAATCGTACATTGACCGGTTCCTAATGTTCCTGGAAAGTAGCAACCTCAAGGACGCAAACGGGCAGAAAAAAAGGGCTGTTTTCCTGACACACTGCGGGCCCGCAGTGTTTAAGATGGCAAAAGCCCTTGCGAAACCCGAGGACGTGAAGGCGATGGACTGGGCCGACCTCAAACCGTTGCTCCAAAGCCACTATGCTCCCGCCGTGCCCACCCACATCAGACGGCGTGACTTCTACCGGCGAGACCAGAAACCGGGTGAGAGCATCAGTGATTTCATGGCAGACCTACGAAATCTAGGGGGCATGTGTGGGTTCACGGATATGGACGAGGCACTGCGAGACCGCGTCGTCCTCGGGCTCAAGGATCCAGTCTTGCAAAGCCGGCTGATTGCAAAAGGAGACATCTCCCTCGCCGACGCCCTTGCTGAGGCCACTGCTGCCAAGGCGACCCGGAAATCGGCGGCTCGAATGCGGAGACCGGACACCAGGGACCGAGCCGTGACCTCCGAGGCAGGTATGGCCACCGAGACGCGCCCAGAAGCAAGCCGCCGAGAGGCCACCACCACACACCATGGCGACCTCGACTCCACCTCCGACACCACGGACAAGGAGGAGGACATCCATCGCCTCCAAACAGAACAAGACCGGCGCGACCGGCGGAGTCGTAAGTCGGGACCCCAATGTGCCGGATGCGGGGGCGACCACCCTCGATCGGAGTGCCGGTTTTTCGACGCGATCTGCCGGCACTACGATAAAAGAGGCCACATCGCCCGAGTCTGCCGACTCAAGGAGACCTACAGCCTCCGACGATGAGACAACAGCGACCGGAGACGAGACGGCACCCCCCCCCCAGGCCCAGGGACCACCAAGCCTCCTACACTCACTGGGGGGAGGCAAGGTCTTTGCGAAGCTCGACCTGGCACAAGCTTACCAACAGTTACCGGTTGACGCAGAAACCGACGAGGCGCAGACCATAGTAACCCACCGGGGGGCTTTTCGCTGTAAGAGACTCCAGTTTGGAGTCAGCGTAGCCCCAGGAATTTTCCAGAGCCTCATGGAAAGACTCCTACAAGGAATCAAGGGGGTGGTGCCCTACTTCGACGACGTACTGGTGTCAGCAGCCAACCAAAGAGAACTGGAGGGTCGCCTGAGGGAGGTACTAACAAAATTCAAAGAGGCCGGGCTTAAGGTCAAAAAAGAAAAATGCCAGCTGAATACAGAGAGGGTTGAGTTCCTAGGATATCTCCTAGACCGGCACGGCATTCACCCAACCGAGAAAAAAATCAGAGCCATCAAAGAAGCCCCCAGACCAAGGAACAAAACAGAACTGCAGGCATTTCTTGGGCTGATTAATTTCTACAATGTTTTCCTACCCCAAAAGGCGACCACGGCGGAACCGTTGCATAGGCTGCTCGATAAAACAGCCACCTGGACCTGGGGGAAATGAGAGGAAGCTGCTTTCAACCAAACCAAGGACCTACTCACATCGGATGCCGTCCTCATCCAGTACAACGAGACCCTCCCGCTGACAGTCACGTGCGACGCATCACCGTTTGGGATCGGGGCGATCCTCAGCCACATACTCCCAAACGGAAACGAAGCACCTATCGCCTTTTACTCAAGAACCTTGTCGAAGCCGGAAAGGAACTATAGCCAACTCGACAAGGAAGCCCTGGCAATCATCGCCGCTGTCAAAAGGTTCCACGAGTACCTCTACAGCAGGACATTCACCATCATCACGGACCACAAGCCGTTGTTGGGCATCCTGGCAGGGAACAAGGCCACCCCGAACATTCTATCCCCAAGAATGACAAGGTGGTCTGAGTTCCTCGCCGCCTACAGTTACCGGCTGATCCACCGACCCGGCAAAACGATCACACACGCAGACACCTTGAGTCGCACACCATTACCCGACCTGGACGCCGATCCAGCACTCACAACATCCACCTTGAGCATCGAGGCCATACCCAACCTCCCCCTAACCGCGTCAGACATTGCCCACGAAACCAATAAAGACAAACGTCTGGCGCGGGTATTACAATGGGCGGAGAAGGGCTGGCCAGAAAAGGATGTCGACGAGACATTCAGGACTTTTAAAAACAAACAATTGGAACTTTCCACGCAGAAGGGTTGTATATTATGGGGGGGACAGTGTGATAATCCCAGAAAAATTACAAAAAAGGTTCTTGGACTTGTTACATGAGGGGCACCCGGGAATCATCAGGTCAAAAGCCTTGGCCAGAAGCTACGCTTGGTGGCCAGGGATGGACAAGCAAATTGAAGCCTGGGTGGCTAACTGCAAGCAATGCCAGGAATCCAGACCATGCCCACCCGCCGCCCCAATCCGGGAGTGGGAAACCCCCAGGGGACCATGGTCCAGGATACACATAGATTTCGCCGGACCCACCAAAGGACACACATTCCTCATAACGGTAGACGCTTACTCCAATTGGCTGGAGGTAAGCGACATGAAAACTACCACCACCGAGGCCGTCATCCGAGAACTCAACAGACTATTCTCAACCCACGGCCTCCCAGACGTAATCGTGTCAGATAACGGACCACAGTTTACCGCCCTGGAATTCGAGAAATTCTTAGCGGAACGGGGAATACAGCACGCCCTGACAGCGCCGGCTCATCCGGCAGCGAATGGTAGGGCGGAACGAATGGTCCAATTCACGAAAAAAATAATTCAAAAAATCGAAACTGGAAACATGCAGGAAAAAATAAATAAACTCCTTTTCATCCAGCACATAACCCCAAACACAACAACCAACAAAAGCCCCGCAGAACTCCTAATGGGAAGGAAACTAAGGTCCCCCCTGGATAGGCTGCACCCCACATACAACCCCGAAAAACCCACCGATTCATCTAGCCGATACCGAACATTTACACCAGGAGACGCAGTATACGCAAAAAACCTTAGAGGGGATCCCCTCTGGATACCGGCAACGATAACCCAGGCAACAGGTCCCCACTCGTACCGGGTACAAACAACCGACGGACTAGAATGGAAGCGACATATCGATCAAATAAGATCGAGAACAACCACGGGAAACACAACTGATACGCGAATGAACACAGACATACACCCAGAAGGGAAAACCCCCCAGCACAAACCAAGAGGGGAGGGAAGGCCCCGGAAACCAACCCCAGCAAAAAAGAAACCAGGAATACTTACCTACCGAGATAGAAACAGACAGCCAACTCGAAGCCTCACCAGGGAGAAGCAGCCAGGCCAGCTCAACCAGCCCAGAAAGACCGGGCGGGAGCGGCAACACCAACAGCTCAACCAGCCCGGATAGACCGGGAGGGAGCTGCGACAAAAGGCCCGGCTCACCCTTCCAGGCGGTTCCATCGACGAGGCAGAGAACAACACAGAACCCGACCGAACCGGCCGAAGGCCAATCACCAACTAACCTGCGCAGGTCAAGTAGGCAAGTACGGAGCCCCGCCTACTTACGGGACTACGTTACGTAGGACCATACCAAGAGGGGAGGGGTGTTCTGTACGATCCATTAACATACTTGCAAGCGCCGCGTTGTGATTGGCCAGAACGCACAGCAACCTGATTGGCTGAGCGAGCCACACTGATTGGCCCGCCGCTAATCCCCCGCGATTGGTGGAAACTAATCGCGGGAGATTCAAAGCGGTGCCATTGGCCGCGGCCGCCGCGGCCAGAGAATAAAAGCCGCCGCTTTTCTTTCGGTACCCGAGCCGATCTCGGAACTTAATAAAGAGTTGAACTAAGTCACTGGCTCCCGAGTCTCCTTTCCCGACGGACACGACAGAACTAAACAAGCCAAATATTGTAACCTTTCCTCATAGGGGAGATACACTGACCCTGCTGTTTTTATTAAAAGTACAGTACACAATTCTTGATTTAGCACTACTACAAACCTCCCATTGCTTAAAAATGATCCTTTACTTAGATCTCTTGGTTTTTCCTTGAAGGCATTTCATTACCCAAACTAGATAACATCATCAGTTCTGTTCAACTCATCATTTCAACTCTGAGCTACATATATTCTCTTTTATTGATACCTATTAATACTTACTCCTTGAATTTGGAATACAACCTCAGTTCTTACTGCCTTCTTTAAATATTGTTTTGTATCAAAATTCTATTCAATAGTGGAAAATAATTAAAAGAAAAGACCTATATTTTAAAATAATATTTGAAATTGATCAATACATACCACTGAAAATGCCAGGATATATAGCTTCAGAAGCTGAAGTTTCATATAATTCTTCCTGAACAGATTCAAGCTTTGCCAGTATTTCTTCTCTTTTTCCAGATAACTCATATAATTCTCTTTCTGTAACATATTAATATTTCAAAAAACACAGCAAAGTTAGTATTACTTTTGAAGTTGCATTAACTATTAAAGCAGCTCTTGGATTTCCAGAGAATATGAAGGGTGAGACAGCCAGAGTTTACATGAGATTTTGAATTTGCCCTCTTTTGGAGCAAACAACTAAAGTTAATTATATGAAACTTTATCTTGGGTTGTTCAGAAGGAAGGCAAAATAAGAGAAACAGAAAGTCTTATAAATTATCTGGTACTCTGGAAATAAACCTAATTGCAGTACTACACCAGCATATCTCAAGCTTATACCACAATGTATAGGCTTTAACACTCAATTTGAAGATTACAACTGAACATAAAGAAGTTAGAAGATTGTGAAATTTGCTGTCTAAGCTAGAGACTGTTCGAGGAATATTACAAAATGAGAATTCGCCATTTCAATCTATACTTTTAAATAATAGCCCTCTTTTTGTAGTGCTTCTTTAAGCTCTTACAGAAAGACTCAGGTATGAAAACAATGGTCCTCACCAGAGGTGATATTTAGCAGGTTCCGACCAGTTCTGGAGAACCGATAGTGGAAATTTTGAGTAGTTCAGAGAACCAGCAAATACCACCTCTGACTGGCCCTACCCCCATCTATTCTCTGCCTGCCGAGTCCCGGCTGATCGGCTGGCTCTTCTTTTGTTGCCCTGCATAGGAGAACAGAGCTGAAAAGCAGGTTAGTGGGGTGGGGAGGGAATGGGATTTTGCAGTAACCTTCCCCCAGGAGTGGGAAGGGAATTGAGATTTTACAGTATTCTTCCTCTGCCACGTCCACCAAGCCACGCCCCTACCACACCACGCCCACCCAGCCACACCCACAGAACCGGTAGTAAAAAAAAAATGAATCCCACCACTGGTCTTCACTAGAGATTTCTACCAAAAAAAAGTGTTATTCTCAATAACTGAAGATGATAACATATACATTAAATCTCAAAAGCAGTAAAAAATATATCAACTTTTTTTCTCCAGGGGAGTATCCCCAGTAAACTCTTTTCATCCCTATCAGTCTTGTAGAGATATTACCAATATCAGAGATAAGAGGATTTCCAAAATTCCAAATATTGCTGAGGAAATAGCTATTATTGAGAGAAAGCTACACTCAAAAGATTACACATGGATAATAGCCCCCCCCCACACCCCCTGTTCATGCGCGCGCAATCCCCCCGCCGAGTGCTGTGCATCTGCACATGTGCATGCAATCCCCCGCTGCACACCGCACGGCTGTGTATGCACACACAATTCTCCCGTCACCAGCCGCACATCTCTGCGCCTGTGCACAATTCCCCCACCACACGCCATGCATCTGTGCATGCACATGCAATCACCTCTGCATGCTGCTCATCTCTGCGCATGTGCGCGTAATCACCCCATGCCATCTATCTGTGCATGCGCGCGTGATTCCTGCTGCGCAATACGTGTCTCTGTGCATGCATGTGCTGTGTGTCTCTGTGCATGCGCATGTGTCTCCCACGCACACCTGCACACCCCCGCACGAGTACCAGATACCCAACAATCAGCTGTCAGGCGGCGGAGGCGGGCGCATGCGCAGTGGGGCTCTTCCTGGTGAACTCTCACGTGCCGGCAGAAGTGGCTCAGTGTGCCACTTCCAGCACCTATGCCATAGGTTCGCCACCACTAGTATAGAATCTCCTGCTTGAGCAGGGGGCTAGACTAGAAAACCTCCAAGGTCCCTTCCAGCTTTATTCTGATTCTGAATCCTTAATGGGAAATGAGGCAAATTATTTGAGGGGTTCAATTGATTTCTGCTAGCAAAAGGTTGTAGAAGCTTTGAGAGAACAACATAAGGCTTTTAACATATTTGTCATTAAGTGATCATCTGATTTAGCACTACTGGAAAAATTTATGTCTACTTTAAATGATCAGTCGATGATCCATATCAAATTACTATCAAGTGAAGAATTTCCTTTGGAACTGGACTTCAGAATAATATAATATTTAATGATAATTCACTAATGCACAACCAGTCCCAAACTCAGACTCATTTTATACATAATAAGAGAAATATTCCAATAAATGCATTTCATCAGGAGGAAGACAAGAGCAATATAATAAAGAAAAGCAGCACTGATCTTTTTTGCAAGACATGAATTTCTCAGAAAGCACAGTTGCAAAAGGCAAAGCTGAAGAGACTGACTGTTCAGTACAGGTAATCCTTGACTTAAACAGTTCATTTAGTGACTGTTCAAAGTTACAACGGCACCGAAGAATGTAACTTATGACCATTTTTCACAGTTACGATGTTTGTAGCATCCTCATCATCATGTGATCAAAATTCAGATGCTTAAAAACTGGTTCATATTTAATGATGGTTGTTGTGTCCCAAGATCATGTTGCAACCTTATCACAAGCAAACTCAATGGGAAAACCAGATTCACTTAGCCACCGGGTTACTAACTTATCAATTGTGGTGATTCACTTAACAACCATGGTAAGAAAGTTTGTAAAATGGGGCAAAACTCTCTTAACAAATGTTTCACTTAACAACAAAAATTTTGAGCTCAATTGTGATTGTAAGTCGAGGACTACCTATATTCTGACTCTGAGCAAAGCAATTGTTATGCTTTGCTGACATCTGGTGGCAACTATAATCCATGAGTTCCCAGTCTGATAGATCTGTTAGAGGGAGAAGGTAGCTGGCTAAGAACTGGTCACAGGATAGCTTATGTTCAAGGACAACTAGTCTCCTTCATTGTATTAATTTGGCAATAGAGATGATTGGAATAGGGTTTATTCCTTTGCTCCTTCTATACATATAAATCTTCAGATTCTTCACATAGCTCATTGGGAAAAGTACCAACATAGAAGGTCACATAGCTCTTTGAGTCAATAACTTTCAATTATATTATTATTTCAATATTTATACTGACTTGTTAAGTTTCTGCCATTGTTAAACAGAGTAAAAGCAAAAGTGGGAAGGTAAACAATAAGCTTTTTAAAATACAAAATGTTTGTTTGTTTGTTTGTTTAAAATTTGCCATGGGGGGTTTTCTAGGCAGCTTACAGCAGTCAACATAAAATTGTAAGAATTGTAATTATAACAATAATAAAAAATGAAACAATAAAAATAAATAATGAAAATACAGCAAAATAAATTAAAAATTAGGCAGGGAAGGAGCAGAATGTGCGGTGTGTGTGTGTGTGTGTGTGTGTGTGTGTGTGTGTGTCTGTTATTAGTCTAATAATCTTTCCATATGAAGAATTACCTTTAGAAATAAGTTAAATAATGAGGTTAAAAAGGAGAAAAGGATGAGTAAGGTTTCTAATTACTATTTATTTTAATGAGAAAAGACAAGATGCTCTTGGACATGGTCAAGGAATTAAATAAATGAGGTTTCCTCAGGAGAAGGAAGAACAATTCTATGTCACTTGATTTTCCACCTGTATAGTCCAGGTGGTGTGTATGTTATCCCCAAATGATCAGTTTCAATTTGGAAGCACTATATGCTTAATAAATGCTTGTAAAATTCACAAATATAATTTATTTTCTACTTACCATCAGGATGCACAACAGAAACAACTTCAGATGTAAATTCTTTTTGTATTTCATGCGTAATTGTCTCTAGATTTGCAATGAGAGATCTTCTTTGCTTGGTTAGTTCCTGTAGTTTATAATCTAGAAATATTATATATAACTTAATAACTTAATAAAAACAATACATTTTGAAATCAGTCTATTAACTTCTTTTTTCAACAATTGGGCATTGCTATCTTAATAATATATATAATATATTCAGGGGTGGGTTTCTACCGGTTCTGTCCACCTATGTAGAACCGGTAGCTCTGAAAAGCAGCAGACATAGAACCGGTTCTATGTCTGCTGATGTTTTTGCCCACCTGCCCGCCTGGGATCTTACCTGATCTTTATTTCCTGATTTTTCAACTTCAGCTGCTGAACGAGGCACAGCTGCAGTTAAAAAAACAAGAAATGAGGGCTGTTTCAAAGGCTGCTTCTCGTGCTAATGACGATTAACAGGCACGCGGCTCACAGCGGGCAGGGAAGCTCGTAAATCCCGACCAGTAGTTAACCCTGTCGTATCACACCCCTGGGTATAGTTATTTGTATCTCTTAACTCACAGTTTCTCATCTTTAATTACCAAATGAAGACAATAAAACTCTATTGTGAAGTGTCTTTGTTCAGTTTCCTGTATCTCCATGAACCAAAAAAACCCAAAACATTCCACCCTCCTGGAATGATATCATTACAACCAATATCTGTAACACTGAGATAGATAAGCAGATGTAACCCTGGCCCAACTAATTTAAAGAAATTCCTAATTTCCTAAATGTTTAATATTGTTGTTCACATAATACAAAAACCTAGATACATACCACTGATACTGCCTGGTTGGGTAGTTGCAAGAGCCTTAGCATCCTGTAGCTCTTTTTCATTTGATTCCATCTTTTCTAGTAACTGTTGCTTCTTCATTAACAACTCATGTAATTCTCTTTCTGCAAGTAGAAATATTTGTCCATTCATCTCTTGAGAAACATTTTAGAAGTCATGTATTATTTTAAATTTTCTAAACTCTGTATTATTATTAAGAATAAAATAAATATTATGAACATTATAACATAGAATCATACAAAAGTTCTTAAAAACCAACAAGTCAGATTCATATCAAAATTATTATATTTAGACAAATTCACATATAGTGGGATAGTTGCTAGTGGATAGTTGTGTGAGGTCTTAAAACTGCACACAATGCATCAAGGTGTTTAATTCTTGGTTTTGTTCTTTTCTTTAAAATTGTTTGTTACATTATTATGAGATATACATAACATATATATTAGTTTGAAAAATTGGTATTTATAGCATTGACTAGAGATTATTAACGCTGCAATGTTTAGATAAAACTCTTAAAGATAAAAATATGACATTAACTATGATTTGAAATGTTGATATTACGAATTATGAACATATAATTATTTATATTTTACATTAAAAGCTGAATATAATTCTAATAAACATGGCCTTTAATTTTGAAAACAGTTCCAAATATGAATGTAGTTCATAGGTATGCTAAAACCTTGACTATTTTTTCTGAGAAATCATTAGAGGGAATAAATTATTATAAAAAGAAAATCTTGAAAAACAAAGAAGAAGAAATAGAATAAGAAATGGAATAAGAAGGATATACACTGACTCCAGATTTGTTTAAAGTGTAAACTGACATTATAATAAGAATGTTATAGTTCAAAGAAAGATGATAACTAGAATCAGATATAAAACTAATCTACTTTTTGAGGTAGATGAATAAAAGTTCTCACAAATGACTTAGAAAATTGTCATCACTTCAAACTTCCACAAGAGCACTAACATTCAAGATACAAAAATACCTAAATTAATTAAATGTCATTCTCCTACAAGAGCTGCACTGGTTTTTTATTTGCTTCTGAGTCCAATTCAAGGTGCTCATTGTCACTTTTAAAGACCTATAGGTAATCCTCAATTTATGACCACAATTGAGCTAATAATTTCTGTTGCTAAGAGAGATAATTGTTAAGTGAGTTTTGCCCCATTTGACAACCTTTCTTGCTACAGTTTGCTAATTGAATCACTGCAGTTGTTAAGTGAATCTGACTTCCACATTGACTTTACCTGACAGAAGGTCACAAAAGGTAAACAGATCCTGGGACTCTGCAACTATTATAAATATATGCCACTTGCAAAGCCCACTAATTTTGATCATGGGGAAGCTGCAACAGTCATAAGTTGAAAACCAGTCAGAAATCACCTTTTCAATGCCGTTGTAACTTCAAATGATCACAAAGTGAATGGCTGCAAGTCAAGGACTACCTGTACATGTCTTGGGACCATAGGTTATTTGAAGGACTCTCTTTTCCCAGTCACAGATACCTACCAGAGAGGATGGGCAGATAATGCTATGGGTTCCTTCTCCTAAAGAGATAATCTACCAGGTTCAAGAAGAAGGGACTTCTCCCTTGTGGCTTCCTCCTTCTGAAACATATCCCCATAAAGATAAGACTGGTTCCCACTTTGACACTCTATTGCAAGGCCTTAAAGACCTGGTTTTGCCAACAGGCCTAGGGAACTCAAAGTGGGATGGAACCCATCAAGTGGCTTATTTGATTGACTGATTGTTGTTGCCAGGGAGATGGGGGTTATTACATTTTATTGTTTTTATATTGGGTTTTTATCTTTGTAAGCTGCCTGGAGTCACTGAAAGCAAGTTGGGTGGCCATAAAAATTTCATTAAATAAATAGGTATATGAGGTAAGAAGGCAATGACATAGATCTCTTATAGAAATAACTTTCTTTATCAAATAAGAATATGAAAAATGAGAATCAGCTCTGCTAATCAAAATGAAAACCATTACATTAATAATGGACTTCTGTGAAAGGTGGCCACTCAAATCATGGATCCGAAATTATTACTAAAAAGAAGTAGAAATCAATAACTTATGACTACTTGAGATTGATTACCCCCCATTTAAGGAAAGAATCAGCCTTCACAAAGTCACAGCTTTTGCGCATGTCATGCATGATGATGATGGACGAGGAAAATCATTATGCTTGATAAGCTTGAAAGAAATAGTAGGGAAAACCAAAAATCTAGCTGGATGAATAGGATTAAAGGGATTTATAATGCTATCTTTGAAAGAATTAAAAATATAAAATATTTCAGGAGATAAATTGATATAGCAATAATTTTTTTCATGAGGTTCACAAGAAGATGACTCATAATTTATCAACATAACTAAAGAAACTAAATGTTTCTGGGAATCTATCAAACTAACATTTAAACCCAGATTTACTAACAGGAAACACAGACATAACGCTAACCCAGTCAGAAACATGAACATCTGTTCATATCCAGAATATGAGTTAAACCAAATGAAGATATTATTACTTAAAATGTTTCATTTCATCTGAAGGGATGACCCTCCTTCTATTAAAGATCTGCAGCATGAAACATCAGAAAATGTGATTAAGTGACCAGATACATTTTCATTATTGTAAAACCTGAAGAGTACAGGTAGTTCTGGCTTGATGATGGTAATTGAGACCTGCAACTCCATCATTAAGAAACATGTAGCCATGCCAACTGACCATTGCACTTGTTGCAGTTCCAGTTGCCATCATCCTTTGCAGTTGCAGTGTCCCACAATCTCATAATCCCCATTTGTGACTTCCTGCCAGTTTCTACATTGATCTTGCTTGTTGGAAGCTAGCAGTGGATGTTGTTGATTGAGATGGTGTGACTGCAAGATGCTGCAGACATTGTAATTGCAAGCTGGTTGCAAAGGACCAAATCCTGGTCACATGACCATGGTGATGCTACAATACTGCAGCTACAAAGAATGGTCATTATCTCCCTTTCAACAGTCACTGAACTAATGATCACTCAACAAAGACTACCTATATGGTCCTCAGAACACACTGACACAGGGCTTGATTAAGGTATCAAAAATATAAATGCCATGAAAACAAATAACGTTTAATGTAGATACACTGGAATTATGAAGTTAAGTCTGAATCCAAGCAGGAAGGAGGGACTCTAATTGTCCTTCTCGCTTTGACAGGATCACAGAATTGCTAGGTTTACAGTAACAAAACAATATGTAAAATCAATACCATTTTTTCTAGAATCTTTAATTTATCTGTACTTACCAGAAGATCGTATAAATGTAGTGCTTTCTGAATAATGGCGACATTCATTTTGTATATCATCTAAAGTGGCCTCCAAGTCAGTGGCCAAATGTCTTCTTTGCTCAGTTAATTCCTGCAGCTTATATTCTAGCAACATAAAAATCGTATTATTCATTAAAGTCACCTTTAATATTATCTAGATTTCAAAATTGTAATGATCAGCATGCATCATGTCTCCCTGAAAATAAAACTGGGTCGTATTTCCTTTTAGGCTTGAAAATAAGCACTTAGGCTTATTTTAGGGGGGATTTGATTTTTTTGAGATGCAGGAGGTGGTGAGCACGGTCACCTCATGGCTGCTGGGCCTCTAAATTGCGGCCCATGGATCAGCTGATCCAGCAAGGGCCAGAAGCTTTGTCTGGAGATATTTCCAGAACACTCTTGCTTGACTCATTTCTGGCGGGGTTTGGGGGAAAGAAAGACTTCCGCTGTTTCTGCTGCTTTCGTTACATGCAGCCAAAAGTTTGCAAAAGACAGAAAAGTGAAATGCCAAACTCAACACATAATCACACCTCATGTATGGGCCACCCCGAGTGGGGTGGGAGTGGGGAGGCCATTGAAGAAGCCCTGCGCAACCTTTGCCTTTGCCAGGGCAGCAGGCGCTAGAAGGGTGCTGTACCAAAGCCTCCCCTCCGCTTGGTTTGGGATGGACGATGCCTGGCAGGCCCAGGTGCGGTGGGTGGACATGTGGGTGGGTGGAGCAGAAAAGAGAAATGGTGGAGAGGAAATCCTTTCAAACAGTGTTGTCTGCAATTCTTGTTACTCCTCTCTCTCTCTCTCTCTCTCTCTCTCTCTCTCATTCTCTCTCTCACACACACAGACATTTGATCGCTTCAAAGGGACAGGCTGGGCTTTTCTTCAATCGTAAGCATGCGCATTGTAGCAGCAGCTTACACAACACAGGAGCTCCAGGCCTGGTGGAATGCAAATCGTGCTTCCTGCCTGCTCCATAGCCACAAGGTAAGCTGTGGAACAGAGGGGCCCTCAGCTGCAAGGTTGCCTGGCACTGGGGGCAGGCTGGCCTAACAAGAATGCACTGGAAATATGTACAAGCACCCGGAGAGACAAAATTCCCAGCTCTTGCTGGATCAACTGATCCGCGGGCCACAAATAAGGGGCCCAGAAGCCATGAGGTGGGGAAGGGAATGGCTGCCTCCTATGCTGGCCATGCCCACCCCCTTCACTAGTGCTTATTTCTGGGGTAGGGCATATATTAGATCCACCCCAAAATAATCAGGCTAAGGCTTATTTTTGAGGTAGGTCATATTTTCAGGGAAACACAGTATCTTACTACAAGTTCTGTTCATTCACAAAAATTAAATTGTACAGCATTTTGCATTCTGTTGAGTTAATGTTAAACCATTAATTCATTTTGTCAGGGAAGGATCTTTGCTTGTGATGTATTCTCAGGAATGTAACCTAGCTTGAATATGGAATGTAACATTACTCTGCTGCAGGGGTGGGATTCAAAGTTTTTAGCAACCAGTTCTGTGGGTGTGGCTAGATGGGCATAGCAGGGGAAGGATACTGTAAATTCTGTGCAGTTCGGAGAACCGGCTAGCCCTGCCCTTCTCTGCCTGCTCCTTCCCTAGGCATAGCTTCCCTCAGCATAGCTAGGTGAACTTGGCCATGTGACTGGGTGGGAATAGCTTTTTCTTCTTTTTTTTTCACAGCACCCTCTTGCTTCATTTTTGGGCCTCCTGCACCTCAGGTAAACCTCCTGGAGGGGCATTTTTGCTCCCAGTAAGCTTCCCTGGGGCCCAGGAAAGCAAAAAATGGAAGCCTCCTGGGTGAAGCAGTAAGACAGCAAGGGGGATCCCGGTACATTGATCATCAGAACAGCTGATCGTCAGGAGCGGGGGAAGAATACCTTAAGGAGTGACTGGGCGGGGGAGAATGCAGTCAGCGATGTTGTCGGGCATGTGCACAATGTCGCACGTGTGTAATAAGGGTTGACTGGGCGGGGAGGGAAGGGGCAGGCGGAGAGGGGTGGCGCTAGCCAGGAGCATGATTTGCCGGTTCTCCGAACGACACAGAATCATAACAATTGGTTCTATAGATCTCACCCCTGCTCTGCTGCAAATGTTAGTAGAATTTAGAATAAATTCAGTGGTGGGATTCAAAAATTTTTACTACTGGTTCTGTGGGCGTGGCTTGGTGGGTGTAGCAGGGGGAGGATACTGTAAAATATCCAGTCAGAGGTAGCATTTGCTGGTTCTCTGAACTACTCAAAATTTCTGCTACCGGTTTTCCAGAACTGGTCAGAAACTGCTGAATACCACTTCTGTATAAATTCCTATACATCTCTTTCCAACAACAATACCTTTAACCTACATTATTCATATCTGAGCCTAGTGAGAATTTCTTGACAGACTCTGAACAAGCTTTTCTGCTTTTTACAATTGAGCAGATTTCCTAACAAAGCTTAAAATCTGATTTCCTAACAAGGCTTAAAAACTTAAAGAAATTTAATCAATTAAAATATATAATATTTCATGTGATACAGTTTACTTCATCTAATCTATCTGATGAAGTGTGTTTGTAGTTATTACAACTTTGGACTATCAAAGGCTAAAACCTAGTTAAACCTGAAACCTAGTTAAACCTTCTAACTTGATGACTTCCAGACTAGTATATGATTACTTTTCAAGCCTCACAGAAATAGTTTTAACACATTGTAGCAGTGGTGGGATTCAAATTTTTTTACTGTCGGTTCTGTGGGCATGGCTTGGTGGGTGTGGCAGGGGAAGGGTACTGTAAAATCTCCAGTCAGAGGTGGTATTTGCTGGTTCTCCGTACTCAAAATTTCCACTACTGGTTCTCCAGAACTGGTCAGAACCTGCTGAATACCACCTCTGCATTGTAGTATAAAATGAAAACAAAGATTATTTGAAGTCAAGAACCTTTGTTCCATATACCCTATGTTCAACTATGATTCCAAATACATCTGTGTATATGTATGTACAAAGATTAAAAAAATAAAAATAATATCACACATACCACTAATACTGTCTGGTTGCATAGCTGCAAGTTTTTGAATTTCTTGTAGCTCTATCCAATTAGATTCCAGGGTTTCTTGTAACTGTTGTTTCTTTTTGGTTAGTTCTTGCAACTTATGTAATTCTTTTTCTGCAAGCAAAAATTTTCAAAATTATCTATTCAGAGTTTCAATTAGCAATAATTTCTGCTAGTTAATGACCATCGTGAAGTTACCTGTATTCTTCAGAAATATTATCAAGCTCCTCATTGTTGTATTACATTTATAACAAAAAAATAAAAATAAAAATCACAACTTAATAATATGGGCTGTAGGCTTCTCTTTTCAGAGGTTCTACCAGTATACAAGGAACAAAAAGGGAAAGGGCAGCGTGTAGCAGAGTTTAATGTGTGGCTAAAGGAGTGATGTAAAAGGGAAGGCTTTGGTTTTATTAGTCATGATGTCTGCAGCTCGTCCAATGAAAAACTGTACAAAAGAGATGGTTTGCATCCATCAAAGAAAGGGACTGAGTTACTTGGCATTAAATTCACAGATTTCCTGGATAAACATTTAAACTGAATAGCGGGGACAGAGAATTTATGGATTCAGAACATTTCTGTCCCCAGCAACCTAAAACTAATAAGGATACCAGTGCATGCAAAATAGATGTTTGTGCAGGTAAGATTATCAACCTTGATGCCAACCAAAACCAAGCATTTAATAGTGAGTGCCATACCATGTGCACTATTCAAACAGGTGGCAAGGAAGTAGGGGCAGGCAGGCACAACACAGGTTATGTAGACAGTAAACACAGACAGATCTCAAGTGCCTATATACAAATGCACAAAGTCTGTGGAACAAACAGGGTGAACTCGAACTACGAATACATGAAGGTAAATATGATATAGTTAGAATAACAGAAACGTGGTGAGATGAAATCCATGACTGGAACATACTGGTAGAAGGATACAAACTATTTAAAAAAACCAGACCCCATAAAAGAGGAGGTGGAGTTGCACTGTATGTAAAGGACCACTATATTGCTACAGAAATGCATGAAACCAAAGATGAAAATCTTCTAGAATGCATATGGGTCAATATAAAAGAAAAAAAAGAATGACATGGCCATAGGTGTATATTATAGGCCACCCAATCAAGCAGAAAAAATAGATGTCCTTTTTGCCAGCCAACGAACAAACATGCAGGAAACACACAACAATAGTAATGGGAGACTTCAATTATCCTGATATCAATTGGAAAACTAATTCTGCACCAAGTGAGAAATCAAATAAGTTCCTAACCAACCTAGCTAACAACTTTGTTGTCCAAAAGTTAGAGGGTGAAACTAGAGGGACAGCCATACTGGACTTAATTCTTACAAACAGAGAAGAAGTGATAGAGGGAGTTGAAACTGCAGGAACCTTGGGTGAGAGTCATACTGGAATTCAACATAACACAAACACAAGCAACAGAACATAATGATACCAGAGTCTTGGATTTTAAAAGAGCGAATTTCAATAAACTCAGAGAGAACTTGGGAAAGATTCCATGGATCAAAATCTTAAAGGGGAAAACAACTCAAGAATCTTGGGAAACTCTAAAAAGTATATGATCATAGAAGTCCAGACCAGCACAATACCACTGAGAAAGAAAAACAAGAAATCCAAGAAGAAACCAGCATGGCTGCACAAAGATCTCTCTGGCAAATTGAAAGAAAAAAAAAGGACAAGTAAAAAAAATGGAAAGAAGGACATACAACTCAGGCAGAATATCAGCAGATAGCCAGAATCTGCAAAGACAAAGTCAGGATAGCAAAGGCTCAGAACGAACAAAGACTTGCAACAAAAGTCAAAGATAATAAAAAAGTTTCTTCCAACATATAAATAACAAGAAAAAAATCAAGGAAACAGTCGGTCCACTAAAGAGAGAAGATGACAAGGAAGTAACAGGCAACAGAGAGAAAGCAGAACTATTTAACTCATTCTTTGCATCCGTCTTCATGCAAAAAGAAACTATAGCTCAACCCACCAAAAACATAACTGTAAAAGGCAGATCAGAAATAAAAGTTAAAATAAGCAAAAAAATAGTAAGAGAACACCTGTCTGATCTTGATGAAAACAAATAACCAGGCCTGATGGATTACATCCCAGAGTTTCAAAGGAGCTGGCAGAGGTCATCTCAGAACCACTGCACCAGATTCTTTAAAAATCCTGGAGCACTGGGAAATTACCAGAGGACTGGAAAAGAGCTGATGTGGTTCCCATCTTCAAAAAAGGGGGGAAAAAACAGACCCAGGAAACTATAGACCAATCAGCCTAACATCAATACCCGGGAAGATACTGGAAAAGATAATAAAAAAACAAACAGATCTGCCAACATCTAGAAACAAATAAAGTAATAACTAGCAGTCAGCACAAGTTTGTTAAAAACAGATCATGCCAAACCAATCTTATTTCATTTGTCGACATAGTGACTAAATTAGTAGACCAGCAAAATACTGTGGACATAATATATTTAGATTTCAACAGGGCACTCAATGAAGTAGACCACAACCTACTTCTTAGTAAGCTAGAAAAACGTGGAATAGATAGCACCACCACTAGATGGACTTGCAACTGGCTGGCAAACCGTACTCAACGAGTAGTCCTTAATGGGTCTAAGTCTACATGGAGGAAAGTAAGCAGTAGGGTGCTACAAGGTTCTGTCTTAGGCCCAGTACTCTTCAATATCTTCATTAATGACTTAGATGAGGGAATAGAAGGGGAATTTACCAAATTTGCAGATGATACTAAGCTGGCAGGAATAGCTAACACCCAAGAAGATAGGCTCAAGATCCAGATGGATCTTGACAGACTAGAATACTGGGCCATATCTAACAAAATGAAATTCAATGTAGAGAAAAGTAAAGTCCTACACTTAGGCAAGGAAAACCAGAGGTACACATATAGACTGGGTGAAACCAGGCTCAATAGCAATAACTGTGAGAGGGATCTTGGAGTCTTAGTGGACAACCAGCTAAATATGAGCCAGCACTGTGCAGCAGCAGCCAAAAAAGCTAATGCAATCCTAAATTGTATTAACAGAGGGATACAGTCAAGATCAAGGGAAGTACTAATACCACTCTATAAAGCCTTAGTAAGACCACACCTAGAGTACTGCATCCAGTTTTGTTCACCACATTATAAAAGATGTTGAGACTCTAGAAATAGTACAGCGAAGAGCAAGCAGGATGATTAGGGGACTGGAGGCTAAAACATACAACGAACAGTTGCAGGAACTGGGTTTGGCTAGTCTAGTAAAGAGAAGGACCATGGCAGACATGATAGCAGTCTTCCAATATTTGAAGGGCTGCCACAGAGAGGAAGGGGTCAAGCTATTTTCTAAAGCGCCTGTAGGCCAGACAAGGAATAATGGATGGAAATTGAACAAGGAGAGATTTAATCTGGAAATAAGGAGAAACTTTCTGACAGTGAGAACAATCAACCAATGGAACAGCTTGCCCTCGGAAGTTGTGTGAGCGCCATCACTTGAGACTTTCAAGGAGAGATTGGACTGCCATTTGTCAGAAATGGTGTAGGGTCTCCTGTTTGGGCCGAGGGTTGGACTAGATGACCTACAAGGTCCCTTCCAACTCTGATGATCTGTTATCTGTTATCTGAACAATATAGCCTAATTTGAATTTCTAAAATCAACCTCCCCTAAAGTGCAGATTTGGCTTGATATCTCCTACTTTTTCAAAACTCCTCTCCATTTACTATATTTATTTGCATGATGAAGAAATTCTAAACTCAAAAGCTTACTACCTTGTGAGTAGGAGATTTTTGAAAGCAGAAAATAATTTATTAGGTGAAAGAAAAGACAAAAGTAATTTTTGTTTTATCAAATTAAAAGACATGTTATAAATGCTAACTTATCTTAACTATCAAGAAGACCAAGATAAAGGCAAAACTGCATGGTAGCTCTTTTGTTTTTGTTTTTAATGCTTTGCTGGAAAAATAAAGGAGGAAATCAACCCCACACTTTGGTAAGATCATTAAGAGTGACTGAATCACTACTTGGTGCACATGCATATTGGAAGCTTGTTCAAAGAAGAGGACCAACTAAGTTGGTTAATTGATCCAGATTGAACAGAATAACAGAGTTGGAAGCGATCTTGGAAGTCTTCTAGTCGAACCTCCTACTATTTCAGACAAATCGCCCAATCTCTTCTTAAGAACTTTCAGTTTTGGAGCACCCACAACTTATGGACAGTCATTCTGCTAATTATTCTAAGTCAGGAAATTTCTCCTTAGTTCTAAATAGCTTCCATCCTTGATTAGTTTTCATCCATTATTTCTTGTCTTGCCTTCAGGTATCTCCTATTTTGGAGAATAGATTGACTCCCTTTTCTTTATAGCAACTCCTGAGATATTGGAACATTGCTATCATGTCACCCTTTTGTTCTTATTTTCATTAAACTATACATACAGAATTCCATCAACCATTCTTCATATGTTTTAGCCTCAAATTGCCTAATCATCTTTATTGCTCTTCTCTGCACTCTTTTTTACATTGTGGCAACCAAAACTGGATGCAATATTCTAAGTGTGGTCTTACCAAGGCATTATAAAGTGATATTAACACTTTATGTGATCTTGATTTTATCCTTCTGTTAATACAGCCTTGGAGTACATTGGCTTTTTTGGCAGTTACAACACACTGCTGACTCATATTTAATTGACTCTCCACTAGGATTCCAAGATCCCTCTCACTATTAAGCCCAGGTACTAGGTAACAGATTTAGGAGTAAACTTGCCTTTGGGCAACAGCTTGGATTGTGTTTTAAATATCTATTGTAAACAATTTTATTCTATATAGACAATCCATAAATTATGTTAGTGTTTGGGACTGGAATTTCCACCTTTAAGCAATGCAGTTGTAAAAGGGAGGGTACATGAGGATGTGAGGGGTGCTACACAGTAGATGTGGTGAGACCCAGAAACTATGCAAAAGGGTAAAGAAAATCTAATAAGCTCAAGGAGAGTGTATGAGGCACATGGAAGGAACTGTGAGGATGCAAGGGGGCACAAGGGTGAGAGAAGGCATGATGAAGCTCAGGGAAGAAGAGGACAAGTGGCAGGGAAACACAGTTTGAGACAGTGCATGGAAGTGTGCAAATGGCCAGCACAGCACAAATGCCAAGGGTTTGGGGGAGGAAAACTTAACCCAGAAAATTCTGACCTTCCCCACTGGCTTCCTCTTTGACTTTCTGGGAAAGCTGGCAAGGAAGGTTGCAAATGGCGATCATGTGATCATACAACGCTGCAACTAGTGATAAGTGTGAGCTGGTTTGCAAATGTTCAGATTGTGATCACATTATTGCAGGGTGCTGGAACATCTGGAACTCTGAGAACCAGTCATAACTACATTCAATAATTTATAATTATCATAACTTCATTGTTGAATCAATGGTCATAAGTCGAGGAGCACCTATATGAAAAATGAATAAACTGCCTTTTGCTATTCTTGTAAACCAAATACACCTATAATTCTAAAAGAACCCATTTGCACTGTGGAAGATGCTTTGAATATTCCTCACAGAATGTCACCTCATAGTTTTTCTTCACCAAATGAATCAGAGTTAACTTAAAAATAACCATGGGGTGTTAAGAGCAGTAAAATAATTTGATTTTTCCACTCTTGTGGCCATAATATAGGCTTATATAAATTTTTATTTGGTCTCTCTTAATCTTTTTCCTATATTATTTTGAGAATCTTCTGAAGCTCATGGTAAAGATTAACAGTTCCATCAGAATCAATAAACAGAGATACTCTGCTCAAGAGCTCTGTTGCTGAAGTCATATTTCCTGCAATCAAGTTTGGTGTGGTTTACCCTGAGTTTGTATCTATTGTGTGCTCTTGTATTGTTGTGGTTGAAGCTGAAGTATTCATTGACAGGTCGGACATTGCAATAGATAATTTTATGTACTACACTTAGGTCAGACCGAAGGTGGCGTAGTTCTAGGTTGTCTAGGTCTAAAATTTCAAGTCTGGTGGCATAAGGTATTCTGCTACGAGTAGAGGAGTGGAAAACTCTTCTTGTGAATACATGGACATCCAGCATCCTTGCCCTAAGAAGTGACTACAATCTCAGTCAACCTGCCCACCATACATTCAAGAAAACACTCAAGCAACCTTCAGAAACAAAACAGATCTCTCAGATATCCAGGGCAGAAAGATGGGGAAGCAACTCCAAATTTCATCAATCTCCAAACCACACAAATACAAAAACTACATGCTGGGAAAGATCACAGCAGCTCAAAATTTTCTATTTTCCAACTGATCATAAAGAAAGCAGAGAAGACAATATGGCAATAACACTCTTTGTTCACTACAGTAGAATTTTTGTTCACATTAACAACTTGCTGTAGGGATGACCCCACCCTTGCTGCCTAACACCCCCCCCCCCATTTGAAAAAAGTGCAAAATAAATCTCCCCTGCCAAAATACCTAAGTTACAAATTCAACCACTGTTCACTGTCTCAATGTGCAAACCAATACAGCATGTTAAGATTTATCAATACATTGCAATCCACACTGCCACCAATACTACCTTTTCCAGAACCTGGGTAGCAAGCTCACATCTACTTAAGTGTTGCCTAATAAATTCCAGCTCGTTTGCTGGTCTTTCTGCCAGCATTGCATTTGCTGATGCATTAACATTTTGTCTGCATAGCTTTTTACCAGCACTGTATAAGTTTTCTCTCTAGAGCAATCTCCAAAGTTTCCTATTCAACATAAGATTTTCAACCTGTTTTTTTGGTAATACCAACTAGCTGCCCAGGCATCACCTTGGAGGTGAAAAAGAGAAACCAACAGATAAGAATTCTAATAGACTCAGTTATTATAATGATAGTAGCTTCTAAAACAATAATTATAGGTGTCACTTTTTCTAAACTTCTTAGTAATTATTTTCTTATTTACCAGTAGACTGTACAAATGTAGTCCTTTCTGAAGCATGACGACATATATTTTGTATATCATGTACAGCTGCTTCCAGATCTGAGATCAAATTTATTTTTTGTTCAGCTAACTCCTGCAACTTATGCTCTATGAAAAAAAATGCAAAATAAAAACATTATAATAAAAACTATATAATATGCTAAATAGAAAATTCCAGTGATTAGCAGGTATCAGCATTATCTTTGAACAGGTACATATGCTTGACATTAACTCGAGGTTCAAATCTCAGTTTAGGTTAATATGCTCTGGTCCAAGCCTCTACAGGGCAAAGCTAACTGCTATTTTTGCAGTAGGGCTGGTTTTCTAAAACATTAATATATATTATTCTTAATTACAATAGGCAAATAAAATGTCTGCTCATGGTATGTGGGCTACCAAAATGTAATACCTATCTTTATATCCAAGAATAAATATACTATTAGCACAGTCACTGAAGAGGACAGTCTTTTTCTATCAGATGGCTTCTGGATTAAGAAAGGCTTCCATGAAACTATTTTTCACTTGGCATAACATGAGTAACAGTTGCAAATGCTATTATCAATCATGCATCGTCACCATGAGTACCTGTGATTATCTGATTCAAAATATGTGTGTGTGTGTGTGTGCATTTGAAATATATTTTTTAAAAATCCCACATACCACTGACACTGCCTGGTTGGGTAGTTACAAGTTCCTGAATTTCTTGTAGTTCTTTCCGATTAGAGCCCAGTGTTTCCAGTAATTGATATTTCTTTTCAGATAGTTCATGCAACTCATGTAATTCTTTTTCTGCAAGCAAAATATTATGATTGTTTCAAAAATATTTTCAAGCTTATTTTAGCACTGCTTTCAAAACACTTTTTTAATCACCTTGTCTGATTATAACAGTTTGTATTTTGAGATTTGGTCACTATGGGATCTCTGTTCCCCCAGGCTCCCACCTCTCTAGCCCTTTGGGAGATCTTAAAAGGTTGTTTTCCCCACCAAGTGTTGGAATAGGGTGAGGCTGGAGCCCAGTAATTGGGGTTTTGTATGTATTGCAAATTGTTGTTAAGTGTACCAGAAGGTATGAATGGGAGATATTAATTTTATTTTATTATTTTTAATTGCTGCTCTGAGCCACCAGATGGCTCATAAGATTGGTACTCATATACGTCTCATAAATACATATATACATTTATACATTTCCTCCAAGTCAAACCTCACTATTCTTCTGAGGAATCACTACAGATAGATGAAAAAGCATATGATTATCCTCACTCTTTGATAGTTAGGTTTATAATCAGTGGTGGGATTCAAAATTTTTTACTACCAGTTCTGTGGGTGTGGCTTGGTGGGCGTGGCCATGTGACTGGGTAGGTGTGGCTTTTTGGGGGGGGCTTTTTGCCGCCCCCACCCATTTTGGGGAGCTTCCTAACCTCAGATGAGCTTCTGGGTGAGCGTTTTTGTACCACTAAAGCTCCCCTAAGGAGGAAGAAAAAAAACAGAGCATGTGAGGGACACACAGCCCCCCTCCAAGCTCTGTTTTGGGAGCTTCCTAGCCTCAGAGGAGCCTCTGTGTGTGGGGAGGGTGTTTGTTCGCTCTCCTAAAGCTCCTCTAAGGCTCAGCAAGGAAAAAAAACAGAGAATGGGAGGGGCATGCAGCACCCCTCCAAGCTCTGTTTTGGGAGCTTCCTAGCCTCAGAGAAGCCTTGGGGGGAGGGCGTTTTTGCTCCCCTAAGGCTCATCTGGGGCTCTGGAAGGCAAAAAATGGAGTGGGGGTGCTGAGCTCCTCCCTCCATTTTTTGCCTTCCTGGGCCTCAGCAAGGGGAATCCTGGCACAGCTGATCTATGCACAGCTGATTGTCAGGAGGGGGGGAGAGAAATACCTTAAGCAAATGTCAGGTGGGCGGGTAAGCGAGCATCAGGTGGGAGGGCGACTGGGTCGGGGGTGTGGTCAGCCAGACTCACGCCAAATTCCTGCTACCGGTTTGCCCGATCCGGTGCGAACTGGCTGAATACCACCAACAGTATTATACTGTTTATAATACTAAAATAATATGCACAATCAATGCTGTTTTTGATAAAACTATTAGTTATTATTTCCTTACCAGTAGGTTGTATAAATATAATTTTTTCTGAAGCACGACAACATACATTTTGCATACCATTTAGAGTTGTCTCCAACTCTAAGGTCAAATTTCTTATTTCCTCATTTAATTCCTGCAATTTATGCTCTATAAAAAAATCATTAAAACAATACTATTAAGCATAAAAATAGATGAATTCATTAAATTAATTTTAGTGTTAACTATAGTTCAAAACATTAATGATTAGTATATACTGTAGATAATAGAATGAATTCTTGCCTCTCTAAATCCTCCACTCATTCATTTAATAATTAAAATTATTAAATGGTTCTCAGTAGAGAATTTATTCAGCTAAAATATTCTCAGGAATTATATTGTGCTGAATATACCACCAGAGCTGAGAAAACGTTCCTACAAATGTTTCTTACATAACATTATCTTTAAACAAGCACATAACTTGAAATAACCTACAATGTAAGCTTAAGTGAAATTTTCCTAACATATTCTATAGTTCTATAGTTCCATTCTATAGAATTCTATAGTTCCAAATTAATTGTCTTTTTTGCAGTTGAACAGATTTAATTGCAACAGGGGAATGCTACCTAGTAAGCTTATAGTTCAGTAAATTTGGCCTTTCAAAATTAATATGTATCTTTACAACTAGAAATGAGTACATCAGCAGTATATATAGTTACAGAAGATGACTGTCTTTTTGATAATTTCTAGATGAACTTAGAACAGGTTGAATGGATTAGAATACCAAAGGCAATTGTTAATCATATCTTCATCTCAAATAGTGCACTTATACTTAACTGTCTGATTCCAAATATATATACTGTATTTATATAATATAAAAGTTTATTTATATAGTATAAGTAACATCACATACCACTAACACTGTCTGGTTTCATAGGTGCACATTCCTTAATTTCTTGCAGCTCTTTCTGATTAGATTGCAGTGATTTCAGCAATTGATGTTTTTTATCAGACCATTCATCCAATTCATGTAATTCTTTTTCTGCAAGCAAAGAGGCTCAAGACAGATTTATTCTGAGCAACAACACAAATTTTAGTTTGGGGTGTGTGTGTGTGTGTGTGCAACAAAAAAAAAGAGAAGAAAAGTGGTAAGAATATAATAAAGAGAAAAAATATAAAGAAATGACTTATTTTCAAACTTGTCCCTCCAAAGGTTTTTAACAACTTAGAAATAATTAATGAGTTATTTTAGTAGGTGAAGTTTACAAACTTTGTGTACTCCATGATTACGAGCAAGATTGCTAATACCATCATTGTCTCACAGTTCGAACCCATGGAAAACCATTGTACTGCAACCTCGTTGCAGGGACCAGCTGTCTAGAGCACAGTTGAACATTCTTCTGTGTTCTTATGCATACAAGTTCCAAGGAATGAGTCCATTCATGGAAAGAGTGCTTAATTCAGCATTAGAGACTACTAGTGATTGTGAATGAAGGCAGGCATCAGGGATTGTGTTTCATTTTGACAAAATCCTGGAAAATCAGCTGCCTTGCTGAAACCTGTCAGATCACACTTATAACCCTGGGACACAATATGATTGGATTTTATTGTTGATCTCTCCCTGATACAGAGTTATATCAGCATTCTGACAGTAGTGACTTTGTTTAAAGCAGGGGTGTCAAACTCACATCGTCACAGCGGTGTCACATGAGGTATTGGGACTTTTCCCTCCCTTCATTAAACTGGCCCATGGACCAGTTTGTGAGTTTGACAGCCCTTGTTTAAAGGCTTGGCCCATGTAGTTCCTTACAATGGTCTCCCCACAGCTCAGTAAACAACAACACTTTTTAAATATTTTAGATGTAGAGCCCTGTTCAAACATATGATCTCAGATTGCTGATTGCAAGTTTCCTACATGTTTTGGAAGATCCTCTTTCAATTATTGAATATTAAAATTAATCTTTCTTCCATCATCCATCTTCGAAAGAACTACAGTATAACAACTACAGTATATGGATATTCCAGTTGAAATAGCAAGTATTTATCGATGCAGATCTATATTTCATCCACCAAACTAAAGAAACTCTATTCAGTCAATCCATAAATTTAGCAAACTAATTTTAAAAACAAATTCAGTAATATACACAAAGTTGGCCCAAACAGAAACCTGAAAGTCTTAGTCTGTTTACAGAGCACAGCATAGTTAGGTTTCTAGGTTTCTTGAGATATGTTTTGAATCTAGGATATAAATAAAACCAAATCAAGGTTATTCATAATAACACATGTAGTGTTATATCAGAACTGAAGCATTATTTATTTATTTATTTATTTGATTTGATTTGCCAATTGTTTACAAGATAATAAGTATAA